ATATCGGAAATGTGTTTAAAAATCATATCACCGTTATTGAAAAAAATTATATCGCGATACATATTGATATTGAATTATTGTCCAGCCCTACGTCGGATCATCTCAGATACAGAAAGAGCAGACTAAAGAAAAGAGGAAAAAGGGCGTATGAAAAAAGAGGGCGTCTGGCTGAAAGGTCTTACATTCAGGCTAAGGTGGGTGGGCTATATTTAGCTCCGAGTACTGGTGAAATAAGAAAAGGTCAGATATTTGTACTTATGCAAAAGTGCATGTGAACATTACACACAAAGCTGCATTAAGAATCACACAGAAAACACCAAAACGTGCCTCTGCTAACTAAAAGTCGTCTATCTTAAAACACAAACCGCTCTTTCTGCCAGAGCTGATGACATTCAGCCTTAAACAGATCACATGACTGCATATATATAATTTCTAAATGTGTGGCTGGCCTTTCAGACCTGATCTAAACGTGGGTAATGAATAAACTGACATTTCACACACACAAGAGCTCAAAGAGTAAAAGCTACAACACACTCATGTTATCTAAACACACGCTGGAGGACTAACCCTTCTCAAGACACATGGTTCTCTGAAGAACCACACACACACACACACACACACACACACAGATTGGTTGTATAGTAGATTGACAGGACACCATACGTCACTCAGAATCACATTTTACTGGGAGGAAGACGTACAAATTAGTTACAGACCTTACAGTCAGATTTGAACACGGACAACTGAAATTATTAAGATATAAATTAGGTCAATTTTGATTCACGTCATATTTTAATATGCGTCACTGTTTGTTCTACAGTATATTGAATATTATAGTAATGTTGTACTAAAACAACAACAAATAAAAGCTAAATAAAAGCTAACTATCATTTACGGTTTGAAATATTCAAATAATTTTTTTTTTTTACAGCCGATAGGGGGCGGCATTGACTACTGAAAGGATTAGCGTTATCTTTGTTTGACCATCAAATATTATTAGTGTCACTCTCTTGGATGTCTTTGGGATAATGAGCCTAAATCTGTTATTAAACGCTTTTACGGTAAAGACCTGTGTTTTCAGTTGTAAGCCGTGATGCGTTGTGAATATAAAACAGACTTACGTATTCAAATGACTCCAGAAAATTACAAGCTAACCGAGAGGGGAAACGAAAATGCAACCTAAGGGATAAACGTGCGGAGTAACCATAGTGACAAGCAGTCAGCTTTGCTACACGCTGTCTAAGGAAAAATAATAATTTGCGACATAGTTAACGTTAGTCTGCAAAAAAAATTAAGAGAGTTAGTATCTTAAAAACGTTCGAACGTCTTATCTTCAACGAGAAAGACTAGACTCACTATAGGTTTTTGTAAATGCATTAGTCTCACAGCTGAACTTCTCCGAAACTCGTTGTACAGAGAGGGACACCATGTTGCGACGTCGCCCTAAACGTGGGCTTTGATTGGTCCGTTTCGGAATAGGGCGGGATTTAGCAGCTCGGTGGGAGTGGAGGTGATGGATCGCGAGCCACTGCACTGTGAACGGTGTGCGGGACTGACTGCGGACGCACCGGATCCACTGTTGAGCGCCGAACAACTCCAAACAAGATCCAAGGCTAAAACACGCGTCATTTACTCGCAAAGGAAGCGCCGAACTGCTGGAGTTTCCCATCTGTTTTTATCCTTGAGACGAAACTGTTTGCACCTTTCGGCACGCGAGCCAGGAGCGGACAGTAGCTGATATCCCGTCTATCAGCATGCGCTAAAACGCCAGACCATACAATATAAGCAGCAGCAAACCTCGGGAGTTTACTTTTCATGGTTCTTCTTGAAAGAAAATCCAAATGGAATTGGACAGAAATTTTTGGCAGTCCTGTGACTGACAGTTAAGCTTTGTTCCAGGACACTTTGAACATGGATATAGGTCGATAAATTTCGGACAAAACTGTTGCATATCTACAGCGCATCTCTATGATCTGGGATCAAAAGCGAAAGGAGTCTATTTTAAATCTGACACATGATCAGGACCGGATTTGTGCACCAACCCGAACCCCAACACGGTATTGATGGTCCTTATACCTGTGTGCGTGCCACTCACCTCCTATCTGGCGTGATTTTATCTTTTGTAAGGCTACTAGCTCAACTAATAGATGACGAGTACAATAAAACAGTCACGCGCTGCCGTTTACGTTACCTAAGTGAAAGGTAGCAGCGATATTGGTAACAGAGAAACGTTGGCCCAGAAGCCGCCTGTGCAACGTTGTGCGACACCTTTTTTCCCTCCAGGCAACACTAGAAAAATTGGATTTGGAAGTTGAGCCATGGAGCCCCTCCGCCTAGACGCATAACCTAGTCTGTTGCATGTGGTTCGGTAACCCGGAGTACAGTCGATCGAAGGGATCTTATCTTCTTGCTGGCTTGTGTCTCTCCGAGAAGCGTGTAAGATGGCTGGAAGTGACTGCTCGTGGAAATATTACCTCTGGATTTTGACAGCCATGTGCAGATACGCGTTACCCGCAGCCAAATCACTGGAGTCTGTCGTGTGGAATTCACAAAATCACAAGTAAGTTAAGTGCACGAGCGCGTGTTTAATGAAATCCCATAGAAAGAGCATGACATGTAGCCTACAGTCTCAGATGAGTGATATTAATAGTTTGACTTCTATTGTTCATGAAATAGACATACAGTTTGAGCAGTCCGATTTGAAAATCTCCGCTACTCGTATCACGGCTCGCTCTCCGGCATGATGACATGAAGCTCTCGAGCTCGAGGCTGAAGTGGCCGTGCAAGCGCGCGCGCTCTCCCGGGGATCTAACGCACAGCTGTCATAACGTTACTCCGCCGCCGCTTTTCATCAACTCAAAATCCCTTGTTGATCGGGGATTCGGCAACTGTACTGCTAGTACAACTTCGTTAAATCTTTATGGGAAAGATCGTCATTTTTAAGAATCTCTTGGCTGCTACGAATTCGGCTAACGTTACATAAATTTAACGTGTGGCCTTGACGCGGGCCTAATTTCTCCGTAACATACAATTAAAAATTAGAAATAGGCAGATCTGCTACTGCTACTCGATGTTCTTAGCACGAAACTCTCTCTCTCTCTCTCGGCGTGTCCAGCTTTTCTTCTTTTCCCATGAGAGGCGAACTGACTCTCCGCCACCGGCCTGCCCAGGATCCCATCCTCCCGGCGGCCCGATGGCTCTTTGCGTATGTCATATTGATCAAATCAGAGTTGTGTCTAGAGAGTTAATACGTTTTAAAGCAGGGGTTTCCTAGACGCTCATAAAATCTCACTGATTGCTGCCCATAAAAGGTTAAAGGGAGCGTCCAGCATGTTTACTTAACCTGAATAATGGCTCGAGACTGAAGCTGAAGCTTGACTCAACATAATAAAGAAAGCGTATTGTTTAAGTTTGCATTCGTAAAAGAAGTCATGATGTACTTTTTTTTTTTTTTGTACCTCAATATATATCTTAACCAAAAGTTTATTTTATATTGTCTTGTTAGTTGACTAACATGATGATGTGTCTTATTTTGCACTTTGTTTTGAGCATTTGTGTGTGTGTGTGTGTGTGTGTGTGTGTGGAATACTGGCTGTCTCTCAAAACCTAATGAGCTGCCTACCAGCTAGACAGCATTTTTTTTTGTTTGGTGGTGGTGGGGATGGGTGGCATCTAGACAGCATTTTGGGCATTATAGGCTCATCTTGGTAGGCAGCTCAAAGGGTTTTGAGACACAGTCGCTGAGTTATGAGCGTAAACAGGGGGACAGGAATAGTGCACATGTTTTTCATCTTTGGGGGAATATTTTAATTAAGGAGTCTCTTAGTTGGCCTAGTAAAAGATGAGCAAAAAACTTGAAAACTTTAGCATGCGAGAACCCAAGGGGCGAAGCGAAAACCTAAATTGTGCTTTTAAAACTAAAACCGCACTGTAAATTACAAATGAACATACGTTTATTTATTTTATTATATTTTAGGGGAAGTCGTGGCCTAATGGTTAGAGAGTCGGACTCGTAACCCAAAAGGTTGCGGGTTCGAGTCTCGTACCGGCAGGGATTGTAGGTGGGGGGAGTGAATGTACAGCGCTCTCTTCCACCTTCAATACCACGACTGAGGTGCCCTTGAGCAAGGCACCGAACCCCCAACTGCTCCCCGGGCGCCGCAGCATAAATGGCTGCCCATTGCTCTGGGTGTGTGTGTTCACTGCTGTGTGTGTGCACTTTGGATGGGTTAAATGCAGAGCACTAATTCCAAGTATGGGTCACCATACTTGGCCACATGTCACGTCACTCACTCACTCACTTTATTTTTTTTCATTTTTAATGTTCTCATGCTTAAACTGAGTAAGGAAGGAAAGAAGGGGAAAATAAAATAGCTGTTTAGAAATTGGGTAACACTTTATAACAACTTTAATGTAGTTAAACATTATTACATTATAGAATGCTTAACTGATATTTAGTTAATTAATATACACTCAGAAAGTTAGAAATGTTATGAAAGATTTATAAACGAAATATATTGATATCTTTTTAAGCACTGTATGAAGTTTTAAATGACTTTTTAAAGTTAATTTACTTATTAAAGTTTTGCTAAAATTAATTTAATGCAGCCCCATAATTCAGACATTTTATATACATATTTTTCCATTTATTTATAACTTTTAATTTTTGCAAGTTAATGTTTTTATACATGTTGAAAAATAACCCATTTTCCTACATACAAAGCACTTGGGCCCTCAAGATTGAAAGTATGGAAAATTCATGTTTTGAGTTTTTTAAATTATTATTTTAATAATAGGCCTATACATTTTTAAATGTATGTAGGAGTTAAACCCGTTAGAGAGATCTTAAAAATCAGCAACATTTGAGCTTCTCGTCCTGCGAGAGAAGATTTCAGATAAGTTGCTGGAGCCCCTCTGTGTATGGATTGTTTTACTCATTGAAACAGCTTTGAGCTCTATGGCACAGCAGATGCTCAAACTGGCCTGGTCTGTTTTACCACAGTTGCTGCATGTTGTTTTAAGTACTTAATGTTTATTTACTTACAGACTTTGTGTGTGTGTGTACGCACCTGTGCATGAGCATGTGTGTGTTGCTCAGTCACAGGTTCAGAGACCCTCACTAAAGATTGAGAGGAAGAGAATTTGAAACAGCGTGTGAAGTCAAGAAAAATAATATCAGAATCGTTTGTTAGTGAACATTTTTTAATTTAACGAGAGGCACGTCCGCATATCTCAATCTCATTAAAACAGCACAGTAACTCGATGTACACTGATGAATTGGTCGTTGAACGCAAAGATTATCCTAAGCACTCCCATAAAGACATATGGGCCTCTGGCAAACACACTCTTTGCGCTCTATCCCCGCAATGGACATATGGGAGCATCCACCACCACTAAGTCCAAGTCACACTTTAAACCTCTTACCAGACTCTCAGCAGTGAGGCCATCACACATACACACACACACACACACACACACACGCACGCATGCACACGCGGCTCTCTTACCCATAATAATGTGCCATTTGTGTTTTAGGTCAGACTTCTCTCAGACTGAATGCAAAATATAATTGAAGGACTGTAAAATTAGAAAAACTCCGGCTGCGTGCTCCACCCCTCAGCACTCTGATATTTATATCAGCAAAACGCTAAATTTACTGAACGCTAAATCTACCCCTGCGTTTTCTCTAGAAGAAACATTTGGTGGAACAAGAGCTTCACTGATTTATTCTGTTGACACAATTATGTAAATTTAATTACTTCTAGACCCAACTACACATACAGACTTACCGCTGGTTTCAGATGTATAATTCTGTTCCTATCTGCATAGTTCACAGCTATAATTTGGACTGAGAAAAATGTAAAAGCGACACCCCTCCCCTCCCTTCCTCTGCCTTGAGGGAAGAAAAGAGAAGTGGGATCTGCTGGGAATAGAGAGAGCGACAGACAGAGAGAATAAAGTAGCTAATCACTGGGACAATTATCACATTGAGGCAAGAGATTTCAGGTTATATCTTATTCCCTTAATGTGTCACATACTATACACCCAATCAAACAAACACAAACAACAAAATAACGACTCGCTTTACTTCCCACGTACGTCATCAAATTCTTCTAGTTACAAATTAATATAATTTTACTACATTCAAGTTCTTGGCAGCCACTCACTTATCAAGAAAACACTCTAGCTGTTTAGAAACAATTTTCTGATAAACGACTGCAAATTAACAAAATTTCTTTTGGCTTTTGGATTTTTTTACGAACAAAGTAAGAGGGAGTCCATGATATATGTATGAATGTGCCTGTGTGTTTTGGCCATTTTCCAGTGCTAAGGGAGGAGATGAAGGAGCTAATTGGAAATCTGTCTCTCATTAGCTCAAAAATGCTACTGAAGTATTTTACTTATGTGTGTGTGAGTGTGTATTCAAGCGTACAAGTTTGTTCATTTACCCAACACTCTGTGGTGCACAATTAGTCTTAATCAGCAACTTCTATGTGCAGACATAACCGTCTAAAGCAGCAGTTAAACATACTGTTCAGCTCATGAACACTCTTTACCAAAAAAAAAAAAAAAAATCCAACTCAAACTGCTTGAAAATTACTGCTGCGTCTCACGAATGTAGAAATTTTCAAAAGCATTTTTTTGGGTCTGAAGAATCTGATTATGATGACATGAAAAGACATAAACGGCCTTTGGCCTGCTCAGGGATCATGTTGGTCTCAACTGCGATCAAAGTTACGGATTTCCACATATGCCTTTTTGACTGTTCGGGAGCATTTAGGACATGTTTAGGCATATATTCAGTCATCCACCGCAGTAATAATTATTCTCAGAGTCATTCTGAGTGTCACTTTCAGTCATGTGTCCGTGTGCATTTACGAGTGTGTATGCTTGAATTGTGTGCGTGTTTGTGTATGCATGAGTTAGTGTGTGTGTGTATGTCATGATCAGTGGTGTTTTAATAGGAGTTGACAGTGAGGAGATTAACTCTGTCAGAGTTTCAATATGTTGAACAGCAAGAGAGGACTCACGCAGACTCACACACAAACACACACACACACACACACACACACACACACACTTCCCTCTGTCTCAGCCGGCATTTCCACAACAGACCTGTTCCTCTCTGAAGTGTGTGTGAAGTGGCTTTTGTTCCAACGTTGATAGCATTTCACGGTGTTGTGGATGTTTGTTAGTGTGTGTGTGTGAGTGTGAGTTGTGTTCTATAAATGTTATATCCTGAGTCTAACTATGTGATGCCTATAAAGTATGTACATTTTAACGGGGATTCAGTTTGCAACTTAAATCCGTATTTCTGTAGTCATTATATAACGCGGAGAGAGAAAGCGAGAGGGGTTGGCATGAAACCTAATTTTTATTGTACATCCGTGTGTGTGTGTGCACGCATGGGGAGGGCTTCATTAACAACAGTGCTTAAGTAACAAACGCACATTGTCTGTCCCTGACCAAGCATGACCGCTGGGCTCTCACAGCCTCCTCAAACGGCTCTCACACACACAGACGCGCTCCGAGCCCAGCGCCCGTGTTGTTTTAAGGACA